TAACCGGGTGGCTTTGATTTTTTTTTTTTTTTTTAAAAAATAAGTGATTTCTGGTCCCCTCATCCTATGCTAATACCGGTCCTGCTTCCACTCCCTCTTTGCTACATAAGACTTATGGAGTTGCCTTTAAAAGAAAGCAGGCATGGGCTGGGGGCAGTTTCCCCCCAAATTCTTACAAAGCAAAGACAAAACCAAAATGGTTTGCCTGCAATTGCCTGGGCAAGCAGCGCTGTTATCCTGGGTTCGGAGGGTGAGCAGCACCAGACTGTCCTTCCACGAATGCCACGAGCTCTTCTGAAACCTCATGTCCTCTGAGGATGCTCTGGAGCCCATGGGGGTGGCGGGTGACCTCCCCGTGGGCTTTGCAGGTGGGACAGACCACGGACCCTCAGCACTGATGCACGTTATGGTGCCAAGGGGAGCCGCGGGGGACCTGCCCTTCCCTGCATAGGTGCTGCTTGATCTTTCGGGAAGGAGGTTGTGGCACTGACTGGTTTGGGAGAGGCTATGGGCACAATGCTGCCATGAGGATGGACATCTCGGTAATACGGTGCCGTGGTGTCGTTACCCAAAGATCCACCACTTTCCTCCTTTCGTGCATTTGTGTTGCTCTTGCTGCTCTGCCCAGGCCCCGCTCACCCCTCTTCCCTTCCCAACACTTTTTTTTCTTCCCCCCCCCCTTCCCCTCTTATCTGGAACCTTCCTGTAAAGATTAAAAAGAAGAATTTTTAACTCCCTCCCAAAACAACAAAAGGGCCTCGGGGAACCTGGGCGGCTTAGCCCACGGTGGCCCCTGCCGGGCTGGCTCTGGGCGCTGGGGCCAGCCCCAAAACTGGGGTGCAGCTCGAGCATCCCGCTCCTCCTCCTCCAGCCCCTCTGGCTCAGCCCAGATTTCAGCTACAGCTACAACCCCTCCGCGCCCTGGGAGTCCTTGCCATTTGCTTGTTTGCTAAGGATAAGATGGCATCGGCAGCCACCTGGTCTGCCTATTTGCTTGGATTTTTCTCTTTTTTTTTTTCTCTTTTTTTTTTTTCTTTTTTTTTTTTTTTTTTTTTTCCTTGTTTGTTGGTTTTGTCGGAGGTAGTGGCGGCGGGGCTGTTGTTTAACCCCCATCCACTACAAACACCTCGGGCTGTTTGTGGTTTCAGTGCATTGCGCTACGCCAACGAATAGATAGCATTGACTGGGGAGGTGGCTTCCGAGCTCTCGTTGCCTTCGGTCTCCTCTTTGTCCTTCTTCACCGTGTACTGGCCGATAAAGGAGCCATCCTCGTTAAACTGCCCTTCGCCCCCCTCTCCATAGTCCACCAAGCTATCGTCGCTCTCCTGCTGCTTTATCGTGCCGTCCAAGGAGGTCTGGCTGTTTGGCAGGGGTTTGTTGTCTTCATCGCTGGGTAGCAGAAGACAGACAGACAGACACAGTAAGAGTTGAGAATGGGGGCTTTTACAACCTTTACCCAAGGTCTGGATATTCAAAAATAAATCCAGTGTGCAAAGAGACTGACCCAGAGACCACGAATGCGGGGTGCTCTGCGCGCAGACAGCGCATCGCGATGCGCCTGACGTGTACGTGAAGGTGGGGCAGCAGCCCCCGTGGAGGAGCCCGGCGGCCACCTCTGCGACGGGTGCTGCGGTTGGTATTTCTACAAGCCCAACCTTCACACTTTTTCTCTTTTTTTTTTTTTCTTTTCTTTTACAAAGCAGGTTTTTTTTCTCACCTATATTACACACGATGCTTAGATCGGTCCAACTGGATGTACGTTATAAATATCCTTTCCTTGTTGTTGCTTAGATTCTTTCTTTCTCTTAACGTTTTAGCCAACCTTGGTGTCACCTGGTTTAGTGAGGTTTGTTTGCAAACCCCCCCGCTCGGCTCTTTAGCTGGCTACATGCAACGGGGAGCGCTCGAAGCACTGCGAGGGGGCATGGGTAGGATGCCAAGTTCTGTGCAGCTTCCAAAACTCGTGGGAATTTACCTTTCCAAGCTTATTTCTGAGCACCTAAGCTTGTTTGCTCGATTCTTTAGCCTTTTCTCTTTTTCACTAGAAAGATTAAGCCAGGTCACTGAAAAATAAATAGTCTGACACATCAGGGAAAAAATCCCAATCCTTTAAAGAAACTCTTTAACAAAAAAACAGGGAAAAGCTGTTTTCTCTCTGGAGGGCAAGGGCTGGTATCTCGTAAATACAGATAATGTTGCGTGGAGGATGAGAGTGCATTGCTATATATAAAAATCAGTTTTCCTATCAATTAGGCCTTAGTTCATGTTTGATCTTCTGTCCAGCATGCAAATTCTGTCATATTCCTAAAGGTGCCACGTATGTACCTTAAATATTTGTCCTCCCACCTCCATTCCCATCTCTTTGTTGTTGGCTCAGCCTGGGAATCATCAGACTTGCTCTACTCTGTTCCTTTATTTTTACTTAAAATCAGTAAAAGCCCTGGGCTTTGCTTGCAGCCCCTGGCAGTCGGTGCCCACCCGAAGGTGTTTGCCTCCTGCCAAGGTACAAGAAACACTTTGCTTGGGCCAGGGAGCAAAATGCTCTTCAGCTGGGGAAGGCATTAAATCTCTCTAATGCCATTTAATTAATGGCATCAGCTCTCTACCGTGGGAGAGGAATTTGGTATCCCACAGTACCACACACAGCTTTCTAACGGGTTTCCTTATATCAGCACTTTGTGAATTAAGCGATAATACAAAACCAATATTTGAGGCCTTGTGTTAACTTGGCATCACAATAAAAACCAACTTGTTAGCTTTGAAAGCAGCTTCTTTCAGGGGGGAGGAGGAGGAAGAGAATTCGGTCTGCAAGCAGGGCTGCCGGTTAGAAAGCCCAATAAATGCCAAGTAGAGAGTGGCAAAACCCAGGTCCCTTTATTTGCAATACCCTTCCCCAAGGTTTGGGCTTCAGGTAAAGCTGAATCTAGAGCCAGATTTTCCCTAATGGGGGGGTTGCAGTGCCAAACACCCCCGGCGCTGTGTTTCCCGAACCTGCCCCCTGGTTTTACCTCTCTCCAGTACTGTTTTTCCTGTTAGTGCATTAGGAGGGTGAAGCAGATATTCATCAGCATCTTGATGCAATATAACCCTGTTAAAATGGATTTCTGTGGGGTTTGCTGATGTGTGCATTAGAGAACCAGAGCACCCAGATGAAAACCATTTGGGAAATGTCCTGAGGTGCATAAATCATTGAGAAGAAGGGGGAGGCTTGAGCCAGAGGGCGGGTTTTTCAGGACTGAGACAAAGAGGGGGCAGATTGTTTAGGACCTAGCAAGTTTTTTTTTTGCTCGTGTCCCTTGCCACCATCCCCTGGGTGTCTGGCATCAGGGCGCTGAATGCACCGAGGGCACCATCCCCAGGTCCAACCCTTGGCCGGTCCCGCTACGCCGGGAGGGATCAGCTGCTCGAGCGTGGGGCTGGGGGGGCCTGGTGGGTGCTCAGGGGTGCCCCCAGCCCACAGAGCATTTCCCAAGCGAGATGCAACTCGCTGGAGGTGGGGGTGCCCCCGATGCCAGCAGGAGTTAGAGGGATCTTGTTTAATGTGTTAGGTGGAGGTGGGTACATGGGAACAGGGAGGGGAAGGTATAGTTTCAGCTATAGAGTAATAAATAGCTAGAAGGAAGGAAAATAAAAAAAGCTAAATGTGCCGGACTTCTGGCAGCACGTGGTCCTACCTTTCAAGAGACCTTCATGGTCCATGTGGATAGACCAGGTGAAAAGGAGAAGAAAGAATGGGAATAAAACAGAGAGAAGCAGAAAGAGCCTGATCAGAGAGAGATATGATGAGGTCTGCATTTACAGGGGCAGTGCTAAAAACCAAAAAGAAATGTCTGCATTCCTCATGGAGCTAATTGCCTCGTTATACCAAATGGAGCCAGTATAATTGTTCAGCGCTGGATGGGCCTCATTGGCTTCCCCGGGAAAGCTGGTAGGGAGCAGCAGTGGATGGTGCTGGTGGGAAGCAGGCTGTTTGCCGTCAGGCTGTTCCGAAAGGGCTCCTGGTCGAAGTCCCTCAGCCAGCGGCTGGGGATGGACGTGCAGCAGGACAAGGGCCAAGTGAATGGGTTGCTTGGTTTTCCTCCCCCAGCCTTCTGCTGGTTTGCCATGATATAGTCATGCACCGGTGTCATGGTATCTGGTGACAAGCCTACGCCTCCCCAGGCTGCTTCGCCAGACCCCTCCTCCCCTCGCTAGGCTCAGAGGATGGCTCTGTCTCCTGTCCTGATGTCTGCTGAGATGGTCCATTTGGGGCAAGCTGGCGCTGCCTGCAGTGTGTAACCTGTGCCACAGGACGCTATCCTGACTCTGAACTGGAACCCAGAAGCTAAAACCACTCAACTTTCCCTTCCCAGCGGCCGGGGTTTCCAGCCGACTCCCCCACGTGCAGCTTAAACATTTGGTATAATGAGGCACAGTCACTGGCACAGAACATTGTCCAAGGATAATGGTCTCCTGCTTTGAAAATAAGCTTCTCAGCTTAGCCTCTGCTCAGGAAAACCATTATTCTGTTAGTGGAACAGAAAGATGTGACAGTATCTCTTAATTATAGGCTGCAGAGATTTGAAAGTTGCATGCACAGGGCATTAAGGACGTGAGATATGATGAGAGCATATCAGACATGCTATGTGGAGGTGGGGAGGGAAACCAATGAAGAACTCACGTCAGCTCAATTCCTGTCCTTGCTTGAAATACTAATTGCTACCCTCCTTGAGCCTAACATCGCAATCATTTTGAATCTTAATCAGCCAACAGCATTTCATATCAATCCTTCAGGTTCACCTTCCTTTCTGCCTCCTTGAGGGAAGCCTCCTATTGCTTCTCCCAGGAAACCTGTTGTTCCTGAGAAGGAAGGGGCAAAGTTTATGGGTTGCTGGGGTTTTTGTTGTTGTTGTTGTTCTTGTCTGATTGAGGTTTTTATCCCCATCTAGTCCATGGGATGGTGTGATTGAAAATGCGGCAGCATCTTGGGAGTTTGGTTGTTGCCCTTCTATTGACCTCTGCCTTTAGCTTGTAAACTTTTGGGAATGGGGCTGTCAATAAAAGCGTCAGCTTCGGCCGAGCAGAAGCTGCTGTGTAGCAGGATGAAGGATTGATCCCATTCCTTCCCCCTGCCTGGAAGGCAGTGCCCTTTGGATGGTCCTTGGGCACCAAATGCCGCATTGCTGACTGTCGCGATGCTGCCAGCCATGCCAAAGAGCTTGGGTTTCCTTCTAGGCAGGGCAAGTGGACCCTGGCAATGCGATTGCCTTAGGAGCGATGGGGGTGAGGAGGTCTTGACTGCAACCACCTCAACGGACCCTTGAGAAGCAATCTCTGAAATCGGTGCGTACTGCCAGAAGGTCGGCTGTGGAAACCTTGTCCAAGATCCAGGTGATGGGGCTGAGCCTGTAGGGTTGTGTCTGGGTACCTCCTGGGTGATGAGATGTTTTGGGCTTGCTACGTGGTATTTACGCCATCCCACAAATCTCAAACCAAGAGGATCCCTATCGTGACTCGGAGCATTAAGGGGTTATTGCTTTGGTCAAAGTACGGACGGTACCTGTGCGGTAGGCAGTTATGTTTATGGCTCCTATCTGTACAAGGAGCACTGCCTGCGCTTGTAAAACCGTGCCTGGGAAGAGATGCATTTGATCCCAGGCAAAACCTGAAACAGGACCAGGCTGAGCTAATTTCTTCTCTGCTGTTCTCTCTGTCCTGGCCGGGAATCTGAAGGGAACGTCCCCAGATTGCGATTTGTACGGGGACTGAATGTAATTCCCCCAGTGTGGCTTGCCACCACTAGAAGCAATAACCAAATCTCACAGGGAGGTGAGGAAGGTGTTGGCCCCGGGTGGTGTTTAGGTCAATAAGGAATGGCAACCTCTTCCTGCCACTTATTCTGGTTCCTGCTGGGGTGTATTCGTATTCTGCGTTGTGCTATCAGAAGAGTGGGGAGCTTTGGGCTTACCACATCCTTTGGAGAAAGAGAGTTGCTGCTGAAATAGAGTTACCATGCTCCTAACAACATAAACGTGATTGTGTTGAGGGCTGCAGTTGTTCTACTTCCACTTATGTATTGTGTGCAGGCAGATATATTCATTTTGCTTCCTCTAAAGTCTTTGGTGGAACACGTGTGTCTTGTTACATCCCTTGCTGAATCATAAATAAGTTCTTCCCATCTTTGCTACCTCAATTTGTAATGCTAGGAGTAGCTGTAATGACACGGGGTTTAATTAACCCCTGTTTTGAAGTTGGGAGAAAAATTCCTGCTCGCCTTATTGGGTTTTGGATCCAGCTCAGATGGAAAGGTGCATTTTAATTTTTTTAAAGAAAAGCAAAGCCCGCTGTAGGTGCTCAACGGGCAAGCTGGGTGCGCTGGAATACATCCCTTCAGCTGTCAAGTGTGAGATCATAGGATTCTATGAGACCCGATATCGTTACCTGCTCCTGCTCCTCGGGGGCAACCAGCAGCAGCGGCAGAGCTGTGAATGCTGCGCTGCACCTGAGCGGGCTTAGGAGAGCGCTTGCCCCTTCCTGAAATATCCTGGGAGTTTTCCTGGAGTAAAAATGGGTGCTGCTGCTCTTCAAAGGATGCCAATTTGCCTGACGGCAGCTGAGCGGAGGTGGGGGGAAAGCAGAGCGGTTTTAGCAGAACCGCTGCTCGGCTGTGCTGCGCCCTTCAGGGCTGTTTCTGTAGGGTTTGCTGAGGACCTTACAGAAAAGCCCGGGCTGGGATACAGGCAGACCCCCAAATGAGGACTCTTGCATGCTTTCAGGGCTGATCCAAACATAACTCTGGGCATTTCTCCCCTGGATACGCTCTTACATGTAGGACAGAGGCTGAGCTACATGGTGATGTACCTGAAATATCCTTGGGCTGCTTCAGGTTTTTTTTTTTTTTTTTTTTTTTTTGTATGCATTCTCAGTGTCACTAAGGTTGATCTGCACCTGGTGAGAGCTGTGTCCTGGGAAGCTGATGCCAGAGCCCCAGCTCTCTGCCTGGACTGGTCCTCCCAGACTGGGACAGGGAAAGGAGGAGACCTCAGCAGCATCCTCGCAGCCTGGTTGCTCTTCCCAGGTTTTAGGCAGGAAATGTTTCCTTTGGTAAAGGACTTGCAGAGGAGGAAGGAGGCAGGAGGAGGAGGAAGGTGGGAGAAATAATTTAAGAGGCTGTGTGGCACCGCGGTGCTGCGGTTACGTGGAGGGGTAGCGCGGTGAGGTCTGTGATGGCTGGGAGGGGGGCTGATGGGGAGCCGTGGTCGCGTGGGAACGCATGCCGATGGAAGCATACCTGTAGTCGAACGACCCATCTTCTACGTTCTTGTCATCGGGGTTTAGATGCTCGTCTTTATTGTCTCGTACTGTAAACAAGCACATCCCCACCGTTCACGTTAAAAAGCGGTACAGAAGATAAAAGCTTTACAAGAGGGTAACAGCAGCTGGCGTCAAAGCCATCTGTGTGCAATCCCCACGGGGTGAAGCGCGGCTTTGCGTTGACTCAGTAAAAAAACCCGCACCCGGGAGGGCTGGCAAAGGGTGCTGCTGTGGTGGCACCGGGGCGTGGGTGCCCCAGCGAGCGAGAGAGGATGTATTAATTGGTGAATTTTCTTAAGCCTTATCTTGCGCTTTGCAAAAATTTAATGAGATTTTTGCCTGAAAAGATCTTTTTCTAGATGAGGACAAGTGAATTTGCAGAGTAAAGGTTGGGTCGTGCCTAGCGGGAGCCTCCAGCTCTGCAGCCCGAAGCCTGCACAGCAGAGAGCCCTCACCCGACCTTTAATTAAGTGAAATGCTTCCCACTAATAACAGTGTTCCCACTACAGAGAAAGAAAAGCCCTTGTAATCACAAGCGTCTATCTGAGAGCCATACAATTTGATTAGCCCCCAGAAGCCTGGAGATGTTTAAACCATGAGCACAACCGATTGCCGTGCAACGCTCTTACCTGGATATTTCCCGCCTCTGCTCCTCTTAATGAAGCAGACGATCAACAGAATAAGGACCAGGAGAGCTATGGCGCACATCAGCCCGATGAACCAACCCTGCGTTGCGATGTCCACGTGATTCTTGGTATAAGCTAGGAGGAAAATTAGAAGGAAAAGAAGGCTATAAGGGACGGAGCAGAACCAGAGAGGGAACTAGATGAGTAGTAAGACACAATCCACCTGTTTAGAAATGATTTTTGGCGCTGCATTTGTGTGTCTGTGTGTAATGAGCAGAGACTGTAGCACAGGGATCTGTGGCTTTTTTTTTTTTTCCTCTCTTTGGTGGTGGTAGGTCAACTCAACATTTTAGCAGGAACTACAAACAACGAAGGGTCACAACATAAAGTAAAACCTAGCATGGACCAGTGAGGGCCATTGCAAATAATGGCAAAAGAAGCTGGGTAACAGATTTGATCTTTCACGAACTGGGTCTAGAAACTGCCCTGGAAGCGAGAAGGTCTGAAAGAAACGTGCCCAAGCGGATCCAGTCCCTGGTGTCCAGAGAGGCTGAGCCGCACCGCTTGGCCTGGAGGGTTGCTGAGCCCCAAAGGGCTCCTCAGCAGCCTCGAGCTGGGAGAACCCCAAATCTCCCAGCTGCGAAGGCGATGGGCAGTGGCTCTGCTGCCTCCACCACCAAGGTCCCACTGCCTTTGGGTGCTCGGGGGGGGTGTCTCCAGGGCTGCGAGGGGACTTGTGGAAGCCCACCAAGACTTGGCCAAGGCATGAGGGGGGACGCAGCGGTGGGAACAGCTCTTTGAGGCATGGCAGCCGGGTCGTAGCTAGTAAAGAGGTGATCTGATGGCACTGGGAAGTCTTTTCTCCTGGGGCAACCTCTTTTATACTACTGCTTCTAGCACCGTCCCCAGGCTATTGAATATTGAGTATGATTAATACCAAGCAAGGAGGTGTCTTTTCCCCAAACAACGCTCCGGCTCCTAACTGCCGTGTTCTCCCTCACGTACTCTGACTTCTTGTTTGCAAGCTCCCATACACGGTCAGACAGACAAATCTGTGTCCTATAAATAGCAACAAGCTGCCATTTTCTGGCTCTCATTGACATACACTTTGTATTCAGCAAGACAGAGCAGAGGAGAAAATAACCTTCAGCGCAGCAGGGGGGCTAAATTTAACCAGGCTGCAGTGCAAACAGAGAGAGGTATTCCTGGCAGGAATGTGGGAGATCTGAGCTGGATGGGATTGAATTGGGATTTAGCGGGGGGTTGCCTGAAACGGATGGGACGGTGCAGCGAGCATCCTTTTGCGGTACCCATGTGCCAAAACCCAAGATGGTGCTTACAAAGAGCATAAAAGCTAGCCCTCTGCTAATGTGTGCTGAACGAAAGGCTCGCGTAAGAGAGACAACAGCTTTAAAAATGGGTTGAATTGGCAAACTTTGCTAACCCACACCGTTTTAGGGCTGTCGGCGCATTCTTATTCCATCAAAATCGAACCCGAGAGAAGAGGTGCTTTCCTTAGGATGAAATCTAAACCATGTTGTCAGTAGGGAAGTGCAGCCAAACCTTGAACAAGGAAATTCATGGATAAGAGAGGAGAATGATGAGGAAGAGGACTGTTTGCTAAAGAAATTATGTTGGACCCTGGACGCTCTCTGTTTGCGAGAGGCAGCGAGCTCCTGGGGAAGCCGGGTGGAAGGAGCTGCCTAATGGTGCCTTGGCTTCCCTTCGCTGCTTTTTGCTCTAATGCTGCTATATTTAATATTTACCTTTAGCACAACCTGAGCTGAGTCCTTGAAGATGCACTTTTTATAATGGAGAGAATGAGATTATAACAGAGTGGCGTTGAGAACTGGATTCAATTAGCTGAGTGCTTGGGGAGGAAAAGGGGAAGGAAGCTTTACTGGAGAGATTTGAAATGGAAAAAGATTGGTATTACCGGTCCTGATGGGATGGGATTTCTAGAGAAACCAACGCTAAGGGAGAAATAAGGGGGTCTTCAAAGTACAAAATGCCAAAGCAGGCTGAGAGGTGGGGTTCATGCCACCCACGTGGATTGGGGCTGAGTTTTACAGGAAGGAGGGTTCTGAGTACCAGGTCACCAGGGGATCTTGCAGGAGGATTCTGGCACTGCCTATCGCCAAGGTAGCGGTATAATTGCCATCCTTCCCAAAAAAGCAACACATGACAACAAAATTATAGCCACGGCAATCTTGTATTTAGAGTAAACGAGTGACTGTCATTGCAGCTTTCAGAAGGAGAAGATTAAGTACATGGCTGTCAGAGAGGATGTTTTGATTTGCTTTAATGTAAGGCCAGCGTCAAGGAGCAATAGTGGAAAGCAGCTGCGTAATCTCACAGGTATCGGTTTGCAATGCAACTGCAGGGACTTTTTTTTTTTTTTAAATTAATTATAGTTTTGTGGCAGAAAACATGTTACCTAACATTCATTGTTTATATGGCAATAGCAAAGCTGCCCGTGAACAGATCATCAGCACAATTTTTGCCTGTCTTAGTCAAGCAGACTGCCGGGTCTGTGCAGTCTCCCTAGCTCCAGCCTTGCCTGATCCTCTTCCCAGTGTTTGTACAGGCTTGGGTAATATTCTTTTTTATTATTATTATTTTAGAAGACCTCTTCAAAACTGCAAGCATAGCTTAATACCAAGTGTCCTTTACTACTGGAGGGAACTCTGTTGGGTTATTGAGCCGTCAGTTAATTGGAGGGCAGTGTCCTGCAGCCACCGCACAGGGAGAGAACTTATTTACCTACTCTCAAACTGAAGAAACTTTTAGAACAGCTATTTGCAAAACATTTAAAAAACCAAAACCCACAAAAACCCGAACAGAAGCATTCCCAATGGCACATGATTGGCAGCGGGGGCCGAACACGCGTGTCGGCAGCATCCGGCCAGCGAAGAAATGGATCTGCAGCGTTTATGCATGCAGGGACGGCGACAGCTCTGTGCATCCCGCAGTGCTAGGGCTCAGGTCACCGGTCGGCCTCTATCAAAGGGACAAAGTTGGCCCCATCTCCCTTAGTCCCAATGATAATATCAGTAGGAACCCCTCAGTTACAGAAAATAGATGTGCTGAGACCACCAGCATCAATCAGCCAAGGATATTGCTTTTCCCCCCCCACTCTTCTTTCTAATGATTCCCTGCCCCTTGGTGTCCATTGTCAGGGGGCTGCCCCCCTCTCCCCCCAGATCCCGAAGCGGGTGAAAAGCAGGTGAGAAAAGAAAAGAGACGGGTCCAGATTGGGAAATAGTTATCCAGCTCGACACCTTGCGTGCTACGGGTGGGAGCTGTCGAGCTGGTGATGATTTCTGAGGCAGGGGAGGGTCCAGAAGCAGAAATAAAATTGGGGATGCAACATTGCAGCTGGAGCCGTTCTGGAGAGAGTCTGAGCTGGAAAATTGGCTTTTTTTACTGTGTGGGGTCAGAATCAGCCTCTGCAATGTAGGAACAGGCTGGGAGGCCAGGCACTTGAAACCTGCAGACAGTTTGCGTGTCTGCGAG